TCAACGGGAAACGTTTGTAATATCAAACTCGGGAAAGAAGCTCGAGGCAATGGAATGGATACACGCTGTCACCGGACCATGTTGTCTTCCCCCTCCAACTTGGCGCATTCGTTTAATCGCGGATAAAAAGTCGACCAGTACCAGTTACGATCGGCTTGACCCAGATCACCTGTCCGCCGCAATTTGTACCCGATGCGCTTTACCCGAGCTTGGGGTATCGAGCATTGAAAAGCGGAAGAGAGTGGCATCGAAGGAATCCGCCGAGTCATCTTTTCTCTCTCTCGTACTCTCCGCACGACTATGCCAATTACCACGTCCCGTCCACGGGGGTCTCGCTCTGGAATCTCGTTCGTTTCGAAATTCGTCGAACGAAAGGGGAAATATTTTGTTTCGAGGCCGGAAGGGAAATTGGAAAACGTTTTCGTTCGAAAAAATGATAATTGGATAATTTATTACCGGTTTTTACTCTCCGCAAGAGCGATCTTATATTCACGTGAATATAATTTGTAATAGAGGATCGACGAATTCGAGATTCGATCCCTAAAAAGTTATTTAAATATCGTCTTTAATCATCACGAAATTTAATATAATACGAATATAATATAATATGATAAATATCGTTTGTTGCTCGTCGAATCAATTTTACAATGGCGTTATTTAATCACACGTTACGAGATAAAATTAATTTACATGGAGTATCAATAATTACGATATTACTATATTATATGCGCGTTGTAATACTACAATCCGTTAAATTATATCGTCGATTAATTCGTTCGGATTACCATCGCATTCATATTACATCACGCTTCCCACACGTTTCTTGATTTTGGTGATTCCACGGTCCCGTACGGGGCATTTATCCTTTAAGAATATTTAATAAAGAGCGGGTATTTGCTGCAGTTATACCAAGGGATCTGTTCCTTATCCCCCTGGAATTTCCCTAGGAAAATCGTGGCGAAGAACGAAGCTCGTTCTACGTGATTAAAGAATTAAATTTCAGTGTGTAGCGGGGGAATCGGGGAGCAAGGATTGAAACAATCAAATCGGTGTACTTATCGCGTTATGAAAAGCGAGATAACGAGCCGCTGTGAAATTTTAACAACGGTATACGAGGGAAAATAAATACTTGGGAAATATCGACGAGCCACTTTTCCATTTCCAGCCGCATTTATTTCGTCGTGTTCTAAATTTTATCGCGGCTACGCGATCCGTTATATTTTCATCCGTTATATTATTATCCGCTATAAAGGATCAGGATAAAAAGACCGCGCTTTTAACGATACGGTATATTTCAGGTATAAGGACAAAAAACGTGACCGTGGTTTATATCAGTCCATTTTCTTTTTTCTTTTTTTTTTTTTTCTTCTTTTTCTTTTTCTTTCTGCGAGCAGTAATAGAAACGCTTGATATTCGTTTGCTCGAAAGATAATACAATGTTTCAGATTGTATCTGTGGAACATCAATTATTGAAACATCGGTTATCTAAAGATAAATAAAGTTTATTTTAAATTTTAAATGCATAAGAAAAGAGAAGAGAAGAGAAGAGAAGAGAAGAGAAGAAAAGAACGAGAAGAGAATTCGATTTTCCTTCAACGAATTTCATTCTTCCAGATCAATTATTCGAAAAAGTTAGCGGAACAAGTTCATTTCGTTGTTAATTCGCAAAGTCAACATCTCGCTGTATCTTTCATTCGCGAAAGCTTATTCAAACTTCTCTTTCATCTTCGAATAAAATTTTCAATCGTACTTCCTTTCTCTTTTTCCGACCAATCCTCTTAAAAAAAAGAAAGGAGAGAAAGAGAGAGAGAGAGAAAACGAATATACGTGTCAAGGATGCAATGCCATACACGTTTGCTCGAACGATCGTTGCATTGTTTATCATCATTGCAGCACGTTCATGCAGCAATTTCGCGACAAAGATCCACCCTGGAACGACTCGAGCGTAAGTATTAATCCGTCAAAGAGAATTGTTTCTTTGACAAACAAAGGAAAAAGTTTGGCCGTGTTTTCTTGCGTCTTCGTGCATTCTGAATCACTTGAGCCATCACTTGAACCGCTTCAATTAACGCTTTCAATATTAGCGTCTCTCGTATCGAACCGCAACGATATAATTGCCCCGGGCAAAGGTTTAATTCCGAGGAAAGACAGGTGTTGTAATTGGTCTACCAAGAAGATGGAGTCTCTCTGCGGTGGATCGCGAGGAATAATTTACGATGGATGGAGGAAATGCAAATAGTGTTTTGGGTGTACATGCAGAACGAACGATCGTTTGATGCGAGGACGTCGACGAGTCACCTCCTATCCGATACACGTCGATTTAATTGACTGCGTTAAATCGTCCAGAAAAATCGTTTCGATTCTCCCATATCGTCTATGCAAGATGATCTGTGCAAGAGTGTTGTTCCAAACTTGTATTTTTTAAATATAATCGTAACTCTTACGTATCTCCTTCGACTCGATTTTAATTTATTTCGTTAAATTTCAGATCGGTGATCGATTCGTTACGAATTTAAACATTTTCGCTTCGTTTGAGAAAAGATCGAGAAATATCGTTTCATAAGTATATATATCATGGATTATTCTCAATTAATTGCCTTGACTTCGTTATCATTTTCCACAAGTTTCTCAATCAAACTTCTCGAGCAATTTGACAAGATAAAATATCTTCCCTTTATTTTCCATTTGCAATAATAATTAGTTTCCCTTTATCGTTTCGAAAAATCATTAAACATCAGGATAAACAATAATCGTTTCGAATCCACGTTGCTCTTTGCAAAGTAAATCAATTAACTATATGTAACGATAACGAGTAACAGAGGGAGAGTTTTTACCTTTGTTCCTTTGAGAAGAATGCTTTCTTTGTGTTGTTAATTTGCAAAAAAATTTGGTTATTTAAATTAACGAGATAAAGGAAGAACAACATCCTTTACTCGACTGACTAAATCGATGACCGGTGCCATACGCAAAAACCGATTCACCGATTTTCATTCGCCAACGAAAATACTGTGGAGAGAGGAAAGATTTCCATCGAATGGTAGCCAACTTCCGGTTGGCTTCGTTTCGTGAAATCTTTTATGTACTTTACCTGGACTTTATCTCGAACGTTCTCTATCGAACACTTGGCGCATCGATCGGTCGTGCGCGCTTTGTCGTCCAGAATAATTGAAATCAAAGTCAGGGCTTTCGCTAAATGCCAACCTTATTCTACAAATTAATCTCCAGCGACAAGACAATGACGGAATTCTCTTCTCGACTTTCCTTTCCACCTTCGACGCCCGAGGAACTCTCGAACGCTCTCTTCTCGATTTCGATCGAAATTGCAATTCGATTGCTTACCGTGACCGCTTTATCGTGTCGAGGAAATGCACACAATGAGAGGGAATCAAAGCGCGGTGGTCAAATTTAAATCGAGATCGTAAATTGTAACGAGACAATGACAAAATCTTGATCGACGATAAATCGTATTGGTAAATATATATTTTATCACGATGCAACGCGAAAAACGAGGAGAATTTAAATTCATGAATTGGAGACAAAAACGAGATATAAAAAAAAAAAAGAGAGAGAAAAAAGAATTGAATGCCGATAACGAGTATTTCGATATTTATCATCGCTTCAAAGTCGCTTGTGTAAACATATCCATATATACAATTCTCTAAATTCTCGCAATTAGTACCTCCTCTCCTCGTCTTTATCTGTTAGATATTGCTGCTCCAGGAAATCAAGGACGTTTTGACGTTTTAACATTTTGAAAACGAAAAAAACATTATATACTTTCGTAAAAAGAAAGTTTCAAAAGGTTTCGTTGGAGCTAGAATAATCGGGGTGGCCCTGATTAAGAGGTGCAATCTCGTAGATCGAGGAGAAGCGGAGGATTCGGGAGATTAGCGCAATGGCAGTTTAAAAGACGCGAGCTGGTCGCTCGAGCACGACAAGGTATTCGAAAGTGGAACAAACAGCCCAATAAAGGAATTAAACTGCGCTATTAAATGAACGAGGAACAGAGGGAGGGGGATTCTCAAGAGGGGAGAGAGGGGGGAAGGGGAAAGAAGAAGAAAAAAAAAATTGTCGGAGATGGAGGCATTTAAAGTGGATCCGACACGATTCAATCCAAACGCCCAAGGGTCTCCGGACGGGGTTAAGAATCCAAATAAATCCTGGCACGAACGGAGTAAGCGGATTATTCGACCCTGGTGTCGTCCAGCGACGCCCAGGCTTCTTCGTTCCGAAAGGATGGAAGCCGGTCGATGTCGCCTTCTCTGAAAAGTAAGGAAGCCACCGTGGCCAGGATTGGTCGATAATACTCGAGGGTACGATCTGCTAATAACTGGTTACGCGCCATTGGAATCGAGCGAGAGTTCAGGAGGATACAGGCGAAACTTGGGTCCCTTCTTTGCGCTACAAGAGTAGAAAAAAATGGGGAAAACCGATGGTGTAACATTTCAATGCGTACGAGCCATTTCGAATTTTACGTTCGTACAAACGGGGTCGACACGCGGTAAATGCTACGGGGTTCACCGAACTGTCGACACGGATAATGTTGCGTTTCAATATTTATCTCTTAATGGATCTTGGTCATTTCTTGGTCAATTTTTAACTTAGAGACGAATTTGATCGCCTTTGAGAAATGACGATAATTATTCACGTTACAAATTTCACAAATTTCAATAATTATATTGCTATCTTGTATTTGTGCTTCAAAAAAAGTCTTTTGAAAGGTAGCTTCGAACTCTGCTCTAATTCAGACAGGGAAGAAACAATGTCAATACGAGTGAAATCATGAGAAGTTGGCAACGACAATCGGTTCCGAACGTGAAAGGTCGTTGCATCGAAGGTGAAGAGGAGAAAAGAAGAGAGGGGAGGAGAGGAGAGAAAAGCAGGGTCCAAGCGAAATTCACCAACTTGCACGCACGCGATGGCCAACTGGCAGATTCACGTGTGTTTACGAGCGGCGTGTTTACAGAGTGCGTCGCGACGGTATAAAAGGCTAGGGACACATGCTGGAAAGTTGCAGTTCTCACTTGGCCGGCTTAAATACCGTGATGGGAAACACGAGGATCAAGGTATAGTATCGTGGAAGAGATATTATTGGGGGAAACAAATTTAAGAGAATCGCGAGTCGGAGGAAGGGGAAGAGAAAGGGGGGCGGGAAGAGATGAGGAGAGAAGAAGAGAGGAGCGAGAGAAAGTGGCTGTCGGAACTGTCGCGAATTTTTTTTTTCGAAAGCGTGCTTCGCAAGGAAAAATTGGAGAAAACTGTACGAGAGATGGAAGTCAGCTTCTCTGCAATATCGTTGTAATTCTTAATAATTTATAAGAATATCCAAACGGATGAGCACGTTAAAAGAAGCGTCATACAATAAAGTGGAGTTCGAGATCGATAATCGCAAATTGCTGTTCAATTAAATAAATTCGTATAATTACTCTTTTTTTTTTTTTTACAAGAACATAGAGAAATATAAATTTTAGTGAATCAAATTGGCCCAATTAGTCTCGTTTAATTCCGATCGATTTATCCCTTCAGGCAAGAATAATGCACCAATTTGATAAAAGGAATTAATCATAAACGTGCACACGGAACCGTTTCCTTAATGGGATAGAAAAAAAAAAATCGTCGTAGCATTTCCACCGATCGAATAAATAACCGCGAGGGAATCAAAGATAGCGAAGAACACGGTGCAACGATTTTGGAGGAACGTATAACGACGGCCGCGTCGCGTATGGAAACACACCGGAGTGCTTGTTATTCTGGACTTGTGTCGCGTAATTAAAACCAACTGCCATTCTTTTTTAACGTGATTTCTCCGGCTCGTGTTTGACACGTTTCAACAGTTGTTACATCGTTACAAATGAGACGGTAATTGAAACCTGCGAATCACCACGGTTAAATCATGGGCAAAAATTACACGAGATTCGCGCGAGAGACCCATTTGCATTCCCCCGTTTTCATTTTTTTTTTTTTTATCTACATTTGTACGGTACTTTGGCTCGATATATTTTATACGGCGAAGCCGTATTCAATAATTGCGTTTGCCACGGTAAACGGGCAAACAAAGCGAAACGCGTACAAAAGAAACGATGAGAATCGAATTTCAATCCATGATGAAACGCGAAACTTTTATTGCCTTGTATAATCGACCGGCTAGAGTCTGTTTTCGATACGATGGTAAACGCTTGTGTACCATCCCTGTGACAACTGAAAATGGAACATCTCAGATCGATGTTGTTTTCGTCCCTCCTATCCATCTCAGATTCGACTTATCGAATATAAGCGCACTTACGTACTCCTCTATCATTATGCAACGCGCCTTGTCACGATTTCACATATCGTAGATTATACATATCCATGTTTAATTTAACTTTTTCGTCTCTCGTTCGACAACTTGGAAACGCGCATTTACGCGTGTTAATAAATTATCTCCTTCCAAAAAATAGTAGAATCATCGGAGAAATCACGGGGATCGTTGGAAACTCGATCCATTTTAAACGTCGCGTTTTTCCACCGGTCGATCGCCACCGGTAAATCTTTGGACGATTGATCTTCCAGATCTGGGCGGAGAAAAACGTCAGGTTACGAGGTAGTTTGAAAGGTGACTTTTTTTTTTCCTTTTTTTTTTGCGTACGTGAAACAGGTCGGTATCGCCTTGACCATCGCGCTGGCTCTCGGCCATCGATCACGGGGCGGCGTGATACCCCTGGACGGAGAGGATTTCCACGAACAACAGGATCCTGAGCAACATGATTCACTGGCAACCTCGTACCTCCAGTTTCACGGGCCTGTCGAGGGGCCCGTGTACGAGGTGAAAGTGCCGTACTCGGTGAATCACGGGGACAACTCGAACGATTTGCACGAACAACAGGGGGAGCAACACGGCTACTCGTTCGACTACGTGGCGCGTCCCAAGTACGAGTTCTCGTACGGCGTGGAGGATCATCAGACGGGCGATTTTCACGGGCAGAAGGAGAGGCGAGACGGTGAGCCGAGATTAAACTTTTCTCTCTCTCTCTCTCTCTTTCTCTAGTTTTTTTCCATCCTCCATTTAGAAACGTCCTTCATTTGCGCTGTAAGGACGTTTCAGCTTCTCCTTTGAGAGCGCGTTTCGTCTCGAATTTTGTCTCTGGCACGATGGAACCACCGGGAAACGGAGGCAACTCGACCGCAAAGTGTAATTCACGTGGTCGCGTATCGCGAATGCGTGGCCGAGGGATAAGCACGGCGATAAATAATTAAGGATCGTGATCTTTGATCCACCATTCGCGCGAGTTATATATTCATCGATTGCTCGACGCCGAAACGGGACTTGCCTCGAGAGTCTTAATGAAATTTTATTCCAGTTGGAGCGATTATAAATATTGATCGTTACATAAATTCACGCGGTTCCGAGAGAAAGACGAGAAAATAACGTTTCGATGAAGTCGAACAAGCGGTGTCCTCAAGTATCTAGAGGGTAACCCGGCTACTCTTTTACTCGAAATTAAAACTTCGTTCGCACGCGAGATCTTCAATGATCCATCAGGATAATCCATTGGATTATCTTTCGTTAAAATTAAGTAATATAAGAAGCGCGGGATCTTCGTCTTCGTCATTCGATTACGACTACAATGAATAGAAATTGAAGAAAGGATCTCATCGTTTCTCTCCATTCTCTTTTCTCGCGCAGGGAGCAACGTGTCCGGCCAATACAGCGTGAAGGAACCGAACGGTAGCGTTCGGGTGGTCAGTTATCGGGCGGACAAGGATGGATTTCACGCCGTGGTGCACACTTCCGGGAAAAACGAGCACACGGCCGACATCTCCGGCCAAGGCCAGCCGAGAGTTCACGATCACCAAGACGCGGCGCAACAGGAACAACACGTCCAAGATTACGTCTCCCCTTACTCGGCCGAGGACGGATATTGATCGTTCGCCGATCGATCGATCGGCCATCCTTTCCTTACCTGGTTATAAACACCTTATCGTTTCCCCGCTTTCTCCTCTCCATACCAAAGGCTTCCGTTATCGCTTATACCGCCACAGGAAATTGCGGTCAAGAACGTTTTTATACTGTAAATATAGAATATGCTTTTTCAATAAACTGCAACGAACGAGGCAAATATTTTGATACACACTTTTCTTACCTCTGCGTTTTAATACCTCTAGCTATTTTCTTACTACGTATATCCTCGTGTATCTTATCTCGTAAGATGATTTTTCACTCGAGTATCACGATCCCTATTCTCTTCCTCTACTAGTCACTTTCCACTACTTCTCGTCAAATCGATTGGAAAATCGGAAATCAACGCGTTTCGGAATAGGAACGTTTCGTTATCTTTCGTTCGAAACGATAAAAATGGCGGATGATTCATTTGTTTTGTAAACAGATAGGAAAATTCTCGCGCGAAATCTTTTCGGTGTATATAATATTTTGATACACGCTTTTCTTACCTCTGCGTTTTAATACCTCTAGCTATTTTCTTACTACGTATATCCTCGTGTATCTTATCTCGTAAGATGATTTTTCACTCGAGTATCACGATCCCTATTCTCTTTCTCTATTAATCACTTTCCACTACTTCTCGTCAAATCGATTGGAAAATCGGAAATCAACGCGTTTCGGAATAGGAACGTTTCGTTATGTTTCGTTCGAAACGATAAAAATGGCGGATGATTCATTTGTTTTGTAAACAGATAACAAAATTCTCGCGCGAAATCTTTTCGTAAGCGTAAAGCGAAGTACAGCGTTGGAGGTAAAGCGCCACGTCGTAATTGCTCGCGATCGAAGCGGGGGAGGAGGGAGGAGGTTGGACACGAAAGGAGGTCGATCGTCAATGAAGCGAGGCTTGGCTACACCCCGGGCACAGTCATACGCGGCACGTCGTTAAAGCGCGTCTCGTCTGATCAATTTGATACCAACGGAACGTCGTTATCACGAGTGGATAAAGACAAAAGGAGAAAAGGAGAGAAATGGGGCGGGGAGAAGGGGAACGGAGCGAATAACAGCGGGGAAGATGAAAGGAAGGCTCGCCCGCGCGCTAACAATGCCTCGAATGCATGCCTCGATAGAAGAAGAGGAAAGTGGAAACAAAAAGAACAACGAGCAGGCCGGCGAGCAGATAAGGACCGGTATAAGAGGGGCCCCCCCCCCCGGGTTGTGCCAACCCTTCCCAACCCTTCCCCTAGCGACCACGTTACGTCGTTAAATCGCTAACGATCGAATTGACTCGAGGCATTCGGGATGAAATACTCGAAGCGAGATCGAAACACGTCGCGTAAAATACACGCGTGTTGTAGAATCTCGTTGTATCGGTGAGATGTGTTTGGAGGATCCGTTCGAGAGGACGAAACGAAATATATTGAGAAGGAAGAGCTGTTTTATTAAAGGGATACGTGCTCGTTCTTGAAGAGATATGTGTTTATTCCACGGAAGTCTACCGCGATTTGAACGGAAAGCGTTCTGAAACGCTCGGGAGTGTGGATACGAACGTGTTAGTTCGAGAGATTCGTTTGGAGAAATTTGAAAAAATTTGGAGAAAAGTCCATTTTGCGGTAATCAATAAAGACGTGATCGAATAGAAGATAATAAATTATGCCAAGATAAAAAAGATTACGAAAAGAAGAAATATCGAATATATAGAATTATTGCGTGGCGATTGCTGTTGAAGTTAAAAGTATCACTGCTCGAGAAACGTTGTAATCACGTTAATAAGCGAAACTCGAATGTCAATATTTTTCTGTTTGTTTTCGCCTCTACGCCTTACGAAGATGTATACAGCGATGTATATATAGTCACGACACGTCGCGTATAATTGTACGCGCGTCGTTAAAGTCGCGTTAACTGGTGTGTACGTACATCGAGATCCGATGATATTCCGGAAAACGATGTAATTTCCCTAGGAGGGCTAGGCAGGCTACTAATTACCCGCGATATCGCAGCGCAATTACTCGATGATTCGGTGGGAGGGTGATCAAACGTCGTTTCACGATTTCATCTCGAGAGCAAAATACCAGCTTTCCTTTGCCTTCGTGTTAACAACGCTCGCGTGTTTCCCGAACGCGATGGCGGTTAATGAAGTGTCGATGAAGGGGGAAGGCGATCCTTTGACTCGATCCCGCGTGTCTCGGCCGAAACAAAACGTGTCGATTCGTCGTGTCGAGCCCCGTCATCGTTAAACGATCATTCTTGTCCTGGAAAGTCGTGGAAATTTCAGCATTGAAGTGCGCATCGTTCGAACAAAGGGTACATCGGATATCTCGGTTGATTAACGTTCCATCCAATCAACACCCGATTTCAAAATAAAAGTTTCGAGAAAAGTTTTCGCGTTTACTTCTTAGTTCTTAGATTATACGATGCTCAACGCGGATAATCAAAGAGAGATTCGCTTGAATTGTTTTACAACAATCCGTTTTTCCAATATTTCTTCAACACCCAATTGTAATTCGATTCGCATTGGACCGGTATCGATATCGAATCGTTTATATATCGATTAATTATAGAAATCGACACGCGTCGGAATCGTTGCACAAACTTCATTATTCCGTGTCATTGTTCGGGACAAAATTGGAGAGCGGGCAGATCGATAATCGAGCGCGTCAGTCGTATATTTGTATATATACCTCGATTAACGCTGGTCCTAGTTTTTCTCTCGCGTGGATCGAGGAGACGCGACCGGCAAAGTGTCTCATCAAAATTTACATTCAACGAGCGAGATCGCGTCGTATGACGCGACAATGGCGAATTCATCGTGGATGCAGCTCTAACCGAGTCGATATCGTTGCGCGCAAATATTCGTCGAAATGCGAAATATCGGTCGTTGTTTCGGTGCAGAGAGAGAGAGAGAGAGAGAGAGAGAGAGAGAGAGAGAGAGAGAGAGAGAGAGAGAAATTTGACACCGAGTGTTTAATCAAAGGGAGAGATGTGGGTCACCGCGAGCGTTAAAATCGCTCGACGGCATGCGCGACACGTGGAAAAATCGCGCCGCGTAAACACGTTATTCGTAACTATTCATTAACACGGATCGATCTATTAAATTAATAACGGGAAAGAAACCGCGGAATCGACGAATCACGCTTTACTACGTTATCCACACCGAGTATAATTTTCTGGTGTGTTTGGTAACGGGAAATAATTAATTGAACGATATTCGATTGGAAATAACGATGATCCGGTAATGATATTCATTACGCATGACCCGATACGCGCGTTACGATTGCGCGCGTTCAACGATAAATATTTTAACCGATCGGGACAATCGCGTTTCGCGTTTCACTTCCGTTCGATCGACGCGCCAAGATTGAAATTACAATTGGGTTGAATGGATCCTATTCGATCGTATTCGGGACCTCGTTAACTTTGCCCGAAAATCAAGCAAGATCATAGATTTATCGAGGTTTTTAATAATCAAGCTCCGGTTAAACAACGGTAGCTAGAATTGTCCGTGTAATCCGCGCCAAATATTTGCTCGTTTGTTTATTTACTTATTCGCATTCGTAGAAATTGAACGATTAATAATTGGCGAGCTAAAATTGGAAAATTGGAAGCACCGTTTAAAACACCCCATATCCTCCCCTTCCCGAATCGACGAATCGACAAATATTCCGGCGATCGTGCAACGATTCGAGAAACAAAAACAAAAAAAAAAAGAAAGAAAAAAAAAAGAAACAGAGAAAGAAAGGGGATTGGGTGGAAAGAAAATGACGCGAAGCGGGACGATAATAGTTGTAAACCGGTGGCGTTGCTCGAACAAGCGGAACGTTGCGCGGCGTGAACAACCAACCGGCCGCCCATTTCGTCGCTGCAATTATAATGAATCAGCTAGCAAATGGACAGCGCGGTAGGAACGCGAGCGGATAATCAATAGGTTTGCTATTGGAAGCGTGGAAACGGTCGTACGGGTGAGTGGCGTATTTCAATCGAGCGGAAACGTTAGGAAGCCATGGGCTGCGGCAATTTTGCGTTTTCTCCCCTCCCGCTCCCCGCCCACTCGACACTGTTAATTTGTTAACCGTTAATTTGGCCCGTTCATCCCCCAATCGTATTTCGCCCGCGAAAACTTTTTTTCCCGCTTCTCCAATGCTTTTTTTTTTCCTTTTTTCTCTTTTTTTTTTTTTTTTTTTTTTGTTATTTCGGCCGCAATAACGCCAATTATTTTTACACGGCCTCTCGTTTCCCTTCCCCTCCCCGCTCCCCCGGATGAATTTACCGTTTTCGGCCACGCGATCGCCTCCCCCTATTTCGCTTGCCAGGGAAATAACGCGTTGATTCCTCTGTTATCGCGCGTGCCGTTGGCACGCGTTTAACTTTTCATGCACTTCGATTCGACGAAGCCGGTCCGACCGATTTATTTATTAAATCTGGAAATATAAACGAAACATAGCGTGGAAGATCCGTTGTTTATTTTGGCGGGAAAATTTGATCGTTCGTTTTACGCATTCGTAAGCAAGATTTGGAAGAGAAAGAAGTTAGTCGAAGACTCGTTACAATCCCCAGAATGCAAATCGCTATCAGCCTCAACTTGGTTCGAAAGTTTAAAGTTTTCGGAGGAACGCGAGGATCGCGGGAAATGTAAATTTGTAACATTTGTAATATTTGGCGAGATACGAAGGGATTAATTCCTCCTGTTCCCTGGGATGCAAATCGCGATATACCACTTGATTCATGAATGTTTAGACGAGAATGTTTTCGAGGAACGCAAATTTTACTTCGTTTATTCTTTTCCTCGAAACGTCCCCCTTTTTACACGAATTTTTGAAACGAGACAGATTATTGGGGAGAAACGGGGAAGCACGGTTTCGATCGTTTCTTTCGTTTGTTATCAAATATCGAGAACGCGGGGGAACGGTTTCGGAACAGTTATAATTAAAGGAGAAAACAAGGAGCGGAATGGAGAAGGGGTGGTGAGTAGATGAAGCGAGGGAAACGT